CAGGGAGCCCGATGCGGGACTCGATCCCAGGACCCCGGGATCATGACCTGAGCCGAAGGCAGACGCTTAACCATCTGAGCCACCCAGGCGCCCTTCTAGGTCACTCTTAAGTTTCCCCCGGCTCCAGACCTTGAAATTTCTCCCTACCCTCTGCCTCTCTGTCTGAAGCACGAAGACAGATGTTTCCTTTCCAATCTTCTCCCCGATGGCTCTGGGTCCTTCTTGGGATCCAGTCTCCTTAGGCACTGTGGTAGCCATTGTTTGGGGCTGCCCAGGATGTCCCCCACCCTCCTTCCAGGGTGAGCCTGAAACTAGCTCCATCCAAACCACAACACCCTATCCCTGGGCACCGTGACTGGTTCCGGGGTAGGATAAGCATGGGACCCAAGCTGAGCCAATCACAGACTTGGACTTGGCCAATCCATGGACTTGAGGGGGAGGAGGGGAATATTGGCTTTTGCAAGGATGCTGTCACTGGTCATCATCATTCCAAGGGGACAAAGCATCAGTCACACCTGCAGCCCCTGACTGTCCCCCGTCCTTCCCTATTATATGAGTCCATAAAATTACTTTTTGTAGTTGATTTTTATGCATTTTTAACATAAAACTTACCATCTTACCCACTGTCAAGAGTACAGTTCAGGGCTAATACATGCATATTACGCAACCATCACCATATCCACCCACAGAACCCTCCTCATCTTGCAAAACTGAAACTCTACACCCATCAAACACGAACTCCCTGTCCCCTCCCCTCAGCCCCTGGCAACCATCCTTCTACTTTCTGTCTCTATAGATTTGACTATTCCAGGACCCTCGTGTAAGTGGAGTCATACAGTATTTGGCCTTTTTGTGACTGGTTTATTTCACTGAGCAAAGTATCCTCGAGGTTCGTCCGTGTTGTAGCATGTGTCAGAATTCCCTTCCTTTTTTTAAGCTGAATAATATTCCATTGAATGTCCATGTCACATGTTGTTTATCCATTCATCCATCAATGGACATTTGGGTTGTGAATAGTGCTGCTAAGAACACGAGTGTACAGAAGTCATTTATTTTGATGTCATGTGATGAAAGGGAGCCTGGGGAATTAGAATACAGGTTTGTCAGACTCCAGAGTCAGTGACAAGCGCCCTTGGTTCCCAAGCTTGAACCATTCTCTTACTGCCAATTTGTTACAACTATTCACTACCTGTACTATTCCTAATGTTTTCTTAAATGTACCTTTTTCATTTTTTTTACTTGAATATAGTTTTTATCTAAGGGATAATATCCATGGCATCATGTTTTTGATATGTTATTTATAAAAGTTCCTCGTATGCAAGAAGATAAATATAAGTGTATCGAATGGTTCCTCCATGTGCCACCTAAGTTAATCTGTTGTACCACCAGAGTATGTTTGCCACACCTTAGGAACGTTGCCTAGAACGTATTGCAGTTTGAAGATGAGAGAGCCACCCCTGGGATTCTTGGCTTAAGGACACATGTGGGGGTCAGCTTCTCCTTGCCCGGTTTTTTGGCTCAACAACCACCCCCCCAGCCCCACTCCCCGTAAATAATGAGAATAGGCTGGAGACCCATTTGCAGCAAAGGCAGGGAAAGTTGGTATCCTCACCAACAATGCCTTAGAACCCCATTGTTGGACCCCCTCAGAAGTTCTGTAACGACCTTCCCAGCCCATGGGAAACATGGTATCCAACTTCACCTTGGACAACTATAGTAACCGAGATCTCATTACATTTCCTAGCTTCTCAAACCTGAGTTCTGTCCCCAGAGCCGCCAAGATCAAGTCTTTCCTCCGTCCCCTGGTTACCTGATTTCACACTTGTCAAAACTCTTTTATAAGTTTCAGTCAGACCACACCTCCCTTCCAATATTTATATCTTTTTTTCTTGTCCAATTGCATTAGCTAATACTTCCAGAGAATAATGTTAAATAATAATGATGACGGGGCACCTGGGTAGCTCAGTTGCTGAAGCGTCCAACTCTTGATTTCAGCTCCGTTCATGATCTCAGGTTTGTGAGATCAAGCCCGGCGTCAGGCTTCATG